TACAACAACAACCCAAAAAGGTTGGTTATAGGGCTTTCGCACGAGGCGATTTTTCAGGCAACTTTTAGTTGATAGCAAAAATCGCCTCGTCCGAACGGCCTTTCAACTAATCGCTTTCAACAAAGTTGGTCGCCAGCCAACTTTGAGCTCGTTCAACTTTTTTTCCTTGCAACCCTGTGTTTCTTTACATTCTGTATCAGTGTTGGGAAATGAAATCGTTCCTTCAGTACGAAATCTATACAAAAAATGTACTTTTCGGCTATAAATTGTATACACTTTTTAATTCGCTCATATATTTTCTTAGTACATTCCCTTCAAGACCATTGATTTTATGGTATTCATGAGAAAGTTTTATTGTTTATGTACATACGTTTACGTATTTTACACTTTTACAAATTGATTCCACGTGCACATGTACTGCATTTAACGCAAATATGTATGCACACATTTTCAGGTATACATCTTAACAAAAAGCATATTTAAGTTGATATTAATGGATAAAAGAGACTTTTTCTTTGGATTCAGTACTAAAATTTGACATTTTTATAGCATTTCAAGTGCTTATCAAAACTTTACGACAAGATTTGACCATTTATCTTAATATTATTAAATTTTAATTATTTTTTGTAAAAATACGGTTTATATTTTAAGAAAAGCCGTACAAATCCAAGGTTCAAACTTTGTGCAACATTAAAAAAAACCAACACACTTTCGTAAAAATTTCGAGCTTTTTAATTCGATTTCCTAGATTTATTTTGAGTGTGCGGTTTTTTAGCAATTAAATTTTAATATAAGTAAGTTTTTTAAGATTTCTTTGATGAACGTGTTGCTAATTTTCTCCATATAAAAAAATCGTCGAACACACTTCGTATGGAAGAAAATGACTGACATCGTCGACAAAAAAAAAATGCCAAGTTCAACGGTAAGTCCCAGCTACTTTAAACTTGCACTTTATTATACTAAAATTGAATGGGCTAAAAACTAACGAATATTGATAAAGCTTGAAATTTTTACGAAAGTATGTTGGTTTTTGGATGTTTCGCATAGATTTAATCTTGGGTTTATACAGTTTTTCTTAAAGAATACATTATATTTTATAAACAGATAGTTAAAATTAAAGAATAATAAAATAAATAGTAAATCTTGTCAATATGTGAGTGCCGTAAAGGTATTTTATTTAAGAAAATCTCTTCTTATAACTAACGAAGACTTTCTTTCTATATGAAGTTGACTTCGACATTTTGTTTTAATAAAACTTAGTATCGAAAAGTTTCTTTAAAAATTTGCCTAGGCTGTATTATACTGGTTCGTTCAAGCCATTTTTCAAAACTTACAAAGGTAAATACGAACTGGCGAACAAAAGAGAATACAAAAAATTTCTTGCTGTGAATTTTCAGAGCTATATATTTTTAGTATTCATTACAAAATTGTATTAAAAAGTACTGCGTAGTAGGAAAGTATATTGTAAATGAAATTGTATCAAACAAGTACAATTGTACCAAAAAATGCCAACACTGTTGTGTATACATATTTTTTTTCTTTTTTACTTTTTTACTCTAATTTTATCTTTCAGCTTCGCTAAAAGCACTTATACCAACGCTTGGCTTACCAAATTTACGCCAATTGATAAAATTTGGCGATTTAAACTCATTTTAAATAATGTAAACAACAATTCGAGTTGAATCGAAAATCGCCTCGTCTGAATAGGGATGGCAACTTTTTCACTTTCAACTTCTCATTCAACTCCGCATTCAACTTTTGTTGCCTGAAAAATCGCCTCCTGCGAAAGGCCTATTACTGTCTATACTGTGATCATGATTCAATAATACTGATCATGGGCTGAAATATTTTACGAAGAAGGAGAGTACACAAAACGCAGAAAATATAGTTGCCATATAGCATATTTTAGAAATCCTAATCAATTGGGCATTTTTGATATAAAATCGTGGCAAAGCTTATAATAACAACAGAAAATGTTATAACTTCACGTGAAACTGGATTACATAATAATATTCGTACAATAGTGACAATGACATACGGTAAAACCTAAAATTGCCTTTTTCAGCGTAATTTTTGCAATCAAAAACAGCGCTCTTAGACTTTTAATAATTTAAATAAACTCAAAGACGCAGAAAAATGCACAAACTTCAACGCAAATTGTCGAACAGTAAATATCAGGGTTACACGTATTTGAAATAAAACGAGATGTATTTTTGACTACAATAGTGTATTTTTATAAGATAATTTTTTAGGAATCTGCCAGCGCCAAAAATTGAGCCATCTACGTCAAGATGGTGGCCATGGCTGATGTCCACAGTATAGACAGTAACCAACCTTTTTGGGTTGTTGTTGTAGTTATATTCACTCCTGAGGAAGGCACGGGGTTGTGTGCTGCTATTTAATGGCCTTCTTCCGACTTTTTCTTAGATTTCAGGGTTGTGTGCTGTATTATTATTAGATAAATAAATTTAAGTATTTGTCAAATCGTGATTTTATTAAAACAAAATTATAAATGGTGTTGAAAAACCAAACAAACACTCGTGCGAAAGCTATATTTTTGTGTATTGTTAAAATTTATACCTGGCGTACTTATTCTTTTGTGGACTTTATGTTACTTGAGAATTTAGACAACGTGCGAGCTGCCAGGTTCTGTTATCATTATAATTAACACAAGCTTTTCCGAGTGGTTGCCTTTCAATAAAAAGAATAAACAAATAGTCGCAAATAAATTGGATTTATTTTATAACTGACAACTAACTACGCTTTTTGTTCTTTTCTCCATTTTAATTTTGACTCCTTATTACCGCCAACAACTTTATGTGTATACATATTTACAAGCTGTCAAAATTTTGCGTAGTCCCACGAGCTAGGTAAAAACTATGGCATTCGTATTCACAACGAGAAATCTCAAAATTTTTGTTTGGTCTTTCCAAATTTTCTCTTTTTAATCAGTTGGCAAAGGTCCTCAGTGGCAGCGCCCCGAGCGTTGGCATAGTAATTTCATGTCAATTAGTAGAAAAGTTCCATGTTGAAAAAACTTTTTATTATGGCGAGAAAAATTTACATTTCTGCTGTGCCAATTCGTAACTTTTTACTGCTGGAAATTTTTGACAGTTGCTCTGGTTCAAAAGAAGTTGAGCAATTAAAATCAGAAATTATACAAAAAAGACTTGTCTTTACTGACATTTATTCTTCTAGAACTAAAAGCCATGAATTTATTAGACGCCTTAGTAATAAAATCAAACCATCAGGCCGGGTTGAAATTTTTCATTCACCTCATAGTTAACAAAAATTTACAATCCGTAGTACTTTTCTATCAATTCTCAAATGCGTTTAATTTAAATCGTTTAGAAAATGCGTCATTTATGTATACCATTTTATGTGGAATTATTCAATAAATTTCGTTTTACACTATACTTTTTGAAACTATTTGGAGTTAATTATTTTTTGTTTATTAAAAGCAACCCTGCGTGCTTGGAAGGCGTGTGTACCAATAATTTCATCCCTAGCATATTCATCCCCGAGGAAGGCACGATCCAGAAAATAAAGGTCGCGCCATTCGCGGACCGCTAACCCTCTCATCGTCGATTTGACAGCATCCACTCAATCGCTGACGTCATAAAATACTTTTGTTTACATTCACTGTTGCCAACTTAATGCTTTTCGCAGCAAATTTAGTGGGTATTCAAATCCCGAATATTTTTGAGTATGGTGCTTGGTGCGTTTTTGGTGCTTTTGTTTTTAGTTTGAAGACACCAAATTATAAAATCTTAAAAAAATGGAAGCAAAATTTATAGCAATCATAAGCGTGGTAAGCAACTTCACAAAAATTTTAATAAAAACATGGCACAATCATAAGCGACAACAAAATATGTGGCAGCACCTTCAATCAAGCCAGAAAAAATCGACCGTCGTGCAAGAAACATTGATTTTTATTAATTTGAATCGGCATCCTTACAATATAATTATGTATGCATATAAAGTCCATAAAATACACCAATAAATATTTGGTGCTTTTTCAAATTGAAAACTTGGCAATACTGCCTTTTGTTCGATGCTTCCTCTTTTTCTTGTCCGGTTCGTCTTGCTCTCTCATTCTGGTATTTATTGACGTCACGGCCAGTTACTCTCAGCTCGATTGGCGCAATCTTGTATTCTATCATTCTTGCGAGGAAGGCAGTCGCCAAATTCACCGAAGGTTGTTTACTGGTTATATTGTGCTGATGTCGTAACCTTGTATTCTATGAACCTTGATATTTACCCGGAGAAAAAGTCCGGGCTGTTTCGGGCAGGAAGAAGAAGACACTTACGATCCAATACGTTCAAATTTTTGCTCTCTATTACCCATTTTGTTGAGTACGGGAATGATTTCTGGGCTATTTTGCGCACCCGCGGGATCCCGCGTTGCGTACGGGAAAGAACCTTAAGAGCGAAATACACAACACAAGCGGCTTGTCAAACCAAGCGAAATTTCCCTTTGCTTCAAGCCATTTGTGCCGTCTATGGGGTGTTTGAAGGTTTGACAAACTGCTTGAGGTAAATTTGAGCAAAAATCAAATTTTTTTGATTTTCTGGCCGCCATGTTGACGTTTGATCAAACCGCTTGCGATGTGGATGGTAAAATCGCCTCAATTGCAACTGAAATTTCACCAAGTGAAGACGTAAGGGAGAATAATGGTAGAAAACTAAAATGTTTTACATTGTTAACCGAAAGAAAACTGAAATTCTGTGCTTGAACGACTCATGTTTGCATGGTCTATGGCAAAATGGGAAAAGTATGTTTGACAAGCCGCTTGTGTGATGTATTTCGCTCTTTATACGGAACATTCGAGTAACGAGATCATTATGTAACGACTCGGTACTTTCGAGTCAGGGGTTGCACCCGTTAATCAGTAACGAATACATACGGTTTTCTACAGCTCTAGTACATTTATATTTAGCTACAATGAGGTTTTATTTGCAATTAATTCAACTTTTAGTTACAAATTAAAAAATAAATATATTTCTATGTATTAATGTATATTTATATGTAGGTTTATAACGGCTAAATATCGCATTATAGAATGTTTTGTTGTATGTTGTTATCAGAAATGTTTTCAACCTGCATAATTTTAGAACAAATAGAAGGCTGAAATTAGCTATTACATTTCCTCTCGTAAATGAGCTTTCTGTTGACCTTCAGTCCACGCCTTGGCAATCATTTGTTTTGTCTTCGAGTCGCCGCTATTATACATCTTCTTCATAATGTTCACAAGAGCATTTTCAGGTGAAGTATCATCAGAGTTTTTGAATTCAGCATCTACTTTCTCTTTTAACCGCTTTTGTATTCTGGTTAAGTGGTCCCAACATTTACCTTCGTTATTTTTCTTCATATAAATGGCAACCATGTCAGTCTTCACCTTGCAATAACTCTTTTCTATATTGATACCCTCGAGTAAGTTGTTGATAGTCAAACCATAATCTTTTCCGTTTAGATCGCTGACGTGCAAGACCATAGAATTTTCATTGAAAGTGACGCCAACATTTGCTTTGTCAATGTTTTGGACACCGTCCAATGTAACAAATAACTTTACAAATTTATCACTCTGGTCCCAAGCGTATTCAGTCAATTCCACTAAATATCTGCAAAATAAACAAGAACACATTGGCATACGTAAGATTTTAACCCTAGATCGTCATCCTTCGTCAAAACGACTACGCACGATGTTAATTTCATTCTTACTAAGTTTTTATTGTTCTTTGAATTATTAATTTTAAGTTTAATGAATATATGTTTCCTTTTTAATTTTGATTTTTCATTGTTAATGAAATAAATAAAACAATAAATTCAATTATGCACATTATTTATGCTCACAATCCATTTAATTTGGATTTCAAATTAGGTGTCGTCAAAATGACGAAGGATGACGTTAATGTAAAAAAAATAAGGATGACTGTCCAGGGTTAAATATGCAGATATAATTATCTTAATCGCGGGGTCCGCATGTTTCTAGAATATTGCCTTAGACCATGTGTTTTATTACCTTTTGGGTTTTGCATCTTCCCCCGACGCTTTCTTTTGACTCGCAAAATGCTCTTTCATCTCCAGATTGACAATTTCCTTTTCAATCTCTGCTTTTGCAGTTAGTAACACATTCCGAATTCGAGGACGAGTGACCTCGCCAAGAAGTTTTGTTACTTCTTCAACGTCCTGAACCAACTATAAGCAACATGCGAAATAATCAACACCAAAAGTGGAATATATATCACGTATGTACATAAATACGCATATGTTACTTACTTCTTGCATAGACATTCTTAAAATCTTCGTTTCTTAAAGTATAGAAAATAGTGTGGTTTTCCTAGCTTTCAACTAACACCAAATTTGTTCGCGAGAATTCTTCCGCCAACAACACCTTTGTTGATCGCAAAATATATGAATAGTGATGTGCTCAATAGTCGGTACCCTATACTTTAAAAAATGTTCGGTACCCATTACTTTCTTTTCGGTACCCGATACCGATTCGATACATTAAACCCTCGTCATACTATATACACTTGTGGTCAGCTGACATTTTGACCAGTTTTGTTTATTTAATGTTTATATTTTTTTTACAAAAGTCTAGCACATAACAAAATCAGCACCACATTAATCCACCTTTCAAAGTTCTTACAAAAATTATATAAATTCAACAAACTTTAACAATTACACCTAACAATTTTTATACTTTATATAAAAATTTCAAACTTTATAATAAAACCTGTTAGCAAAATTTTAAGTATACAGTTTTATAGCCCATTAAATTTTAATACGTCAATCTTCTAATTGTAAATCGCTAGAAAATCGCCTTGGTTTTTAATAATTTTTTTGCTGACGGTGCTAGGCATTTAACTCGCTGTGGAAGAATAAAATTCTGGGATGCAGCATTGAAAACTATCTTGCCGCGAGGAATTGTATATTTTTATACAAATTGCTTGATTCGCGATCACAAAATTATTTATATGAAAAGTTGCGACGGACCAAATCTAGTCGCATCACTGCCTTCTTACCCCTAGATACGCCTTTTTGACATCTTCTAGAATGTTTTTTATTAACGCTGTGAGGCTCTGGAACTCCATACCGGAATCTATCAAGTCTGCTCTAAATAGAGGGAACTACAAAGCAGTAATATACAATTATTATAATAATTTGTAATACTATAATAGTGGTTGCAATTTTTCTGTTCTATTTTTCTCTAATTATACACTTCTTCCCAACTCTCTTCTATCAAAGTTTCTTTTTGTCCTCTCCCTCTCTCTCACTATCTTTTCTATAAATTTCCATATATGCTGTTAGTATTTTAATGTTAATTAAATTTAAATTTAATATTTAAAATTTTATTTTAATTTAAATTTTTTAAATTTTTATAGACCAACTGTATGTAACTTAATTTTAGTTTTTAATATGTATACTCATAAATATTGTGTTAGTATTACGTTCGATGCACTATAAAAGACTTTGTCTTAGATGTGTAATACATTGTTTTTAATAAATAAATAAATAAATATAATCACCGTCAGCCAAAAAAATTATTAAAAATCAATGAGATTTTTAGCTTCTTGAAGTTTGCACTTTAATTTCATGGTGCAATAATTACAGGTATTGTCTTCCCAGAGAGCGCATATTCCGATCTGCGTTATTTGATAAACATCATTATTGCCCACACTAAAAGGTTACTGCTAGGGAAAAGGGATATTTCCATACCCCATATACTATATATGTACACGTATCTTTTTAAACAAACCTTCTTGCAAAGGCCGAAAAAAATATTTGCTTGGTAAATAAATTAATCATTTGTATGGCTCACTTCATTTCAAACGTTTTTCTTTTGTTTTCAAAAATTATAAAAATGAAATTGAGCGAAAAAAAAACCAAACCAAATAAAAGTAAAAGAATCAACATTAAACTGCGTCAAAATGAAAATAAGGGAGCACGAATTTCGATGTGAAGCAAAACTCTCTGGGAAGACAATACCAGTAATTATTGTACCATGCTTCGACATACTAAAATTTAATGGGCTATAAAACTGCATAAAAATTTTAAAATTTTTTGGTGTAATTTCTAAGTTTTTTTTTTATTTTTTTACGAAGTTTCAAAATGTGAATTTATGTGGTGATGGCTATGTAATGCTAAACGTTTAAAAAAAAATTATAAACAATTAATAGACAAAAGAAAAATAGCCAAAACTGGTCAAAACGTCACGTATTTTAATCAGCTGACCACAAGGGTATACTTTTGAAGTTTGCAGAAAAAAATGTGTTGCTATTTTATATGACATCGCCTGAAATAAAAAAAAGTACAAAAAGACGGTGCTCCCTCAAAAGATGAGCAATGTGTATGTCGGTATTTGAGCCTCCCTGTACTTATCGCCACAGTCTTACCAACTGGAACAATTCTTGTGGCAACATTATTAATTCGTAATATTTATGGCAACTCTCTATTCAAAGAATCATGCCTATTACGGTATCCGACGGATGCCATTCGCACGAATCTAACACCCCTATTGCGAATGTCGACTGGCAGTAGATAAACGACTATTAAGCGATTATCGATGCTATTGCGAGTGTCGCTTAGTCGCTCAATTAGCGACTGTGAATACTTTTTAATCGCTCATTCTTCTATTGCTGTTTTTTAGTCGTTGGAGTTTGCGTTTATAAAATTTACATAAGAAAGTGGTACTATAATGGATAAAAAGTAAGTCAATTGAACTGGAAGTTGTAAAAAATTGTGAAATATACATATGCATGTATGTGTCTGAATTACAGATCAAAAATTATAAGCAACAAAAGGCAACTTGCGCGGTTGTTCGTACTGACGCAGGAGAGTGAAGACATAGGCAAAGGAATTTCCGGAAAGAGTAGGGTAGGAAGCTCCGCTTCTATTGGAAAAGATACATATACAATATTTCTTGTGCATATAACTCCGGCTACGCCATCCACAGTGTTTTTGCGCAGAACCAACATCAAAAGTTTATACAAAAAACCTGCATAATTTATTAATTGACTAGCGCTCGGAAATTTGAAATCTTTATTTTAAATTAAAGTTTAATTCTTTCAATACACTTGTTATGTTGTTATGTTAAAATTTTTAAACTCGGGTCACGCGTTTGGACACAAAAACCCAACATCATTGTACTTAACTTAACCGTACCGTATTTCTTAAACTTCCATAAAGTTTATTAATGAGGAAATCAGCTTTTCCTGCAAATCATATAAACCCTAAAAACTGTGAAGCATCGGGAACGCAACTTCTATTCATAAAACTCACACGTGTACATACACCTTCAAAGTCCAAGGGATCCGACGAATCTCGCAATTCCCTCCTTGCTTTAGCTAACTCTACTAATCTATTAGCTTCCGCATCATCTTCCTCATCACTAAACCATATTTCAACTGTGTCCATTTTTTAAATTTTATAATAAAAGCAATTATTTTAAAAATGATGTAAATAAAACACTCAAGAAACAAATGTAAACAAACAAACAGCTGTTTACAATTCTGTCAACCATTCACAATAGTAAAAATTTTTATCGATCAAGTTACACAATAGCAAAATAAAAGATGATCGACTCGATCGACAAATTTCTATTCTACTGCCAGTCGACACTCGCAATAGGGGCCTAATACTTCACTCTCGCTTGTTATGACAGTGAGAATCAGATTAGATCCGTGCGGATGGCATCCGTCGGATATCGTAATAGGCATGATTATTTATTACGATTTGCATTATGTTGTCGCAGGAGCAGATATTAACCCAGCGACGACAACGTTCAGATCCAAATAATGTGGAGAAATAGACTTCTTTAACCATAGATTAATGACTTCAACTATCACTAAACAGCTTTTATTCTATATTTTGTGGGTATTGCGGACTTTTATTAGAAATTCCAATTTGCGAGTATCCAAAGTATTTGATGCTTTTTAAATCGGTACCGAGTATCGATCAATACTTAAAAGTACCGACTCAGCACATCACTATATATGAGGCTAATAACTAAATGATATTTATAAAATGAAATGAAACAGTGTTGGAAAGATTTAGCAATTAAATGTTCGATTCGAAATTTTGCAATCGATATTTCCACTGCCGTATTCACCTGCTTGAGAATTGCGCATGCGTTCTACTTTTTTCTCGCAAGTTTTGTTGGCTTGTATTTGAAATTGCCTTGTCACACGGTCAGTATTTATTGACGTGATCCACGTATAGTGATATATATTGATGGTGTAGCAAGGTATATTTAACAAAGTGATGTTGGGCCGACAGATGAGTTTATTTCACTAAGTCATTATTTTACTGAACCCATTAATATTCCGGTGTACTCATTAATGATCACTAAACAGTGGTATTACGGAGCTATCCGCTTCTTCTATTGGCATCTCTGAGCCGCATCACGTCATCTCATCAGCCGACTCATTCCCTTCAATATTGCTATGTCCGGTAACCCAGCATAGAGACACGTTGATACGGCTCATTGACGCCAGCGTGGTGCGACATTTCCATACAATTCCCGATTTCACTATTCTAGATCCTATTGCCTTCTGGAACTCTACTACTAAGTAAAAGACTAGCCGCTTTCTCTATAGCGTAGATCTCCGCTTGGAAGACATTGCAGTCGTTCGGTAGGCGAAAGGATCGGTTGATCTGCAGGTCTTTTGAGTAGACATCGCCTGCGGTTCCTTGTTCCATCTTTGAACCGTCAGTGTAGATGGATATACCTCCATCTGCTACTGGTAGTCCTGCATCCCATTCTTCTCTAGTCAGGAATCTATACTTATATGTCAGCTTTAATTCCATTTGGCCGCCCCCTTTTCATTTCATTCGGTATGGATGCATGCCCGAAATCGGTTGCCTTCCACGTTTTGGCTTCTCTGAGCTTAAGAGTGCTTTTTGCGGTCGTACCATAGATGAAAATATGCAGCGTTTGCAGATGAAATATCATGTTAAGCCCTTCCTGAGGTGCGCTACTCACTGCCCCGGATATTCCAAGGCGAGTCTTTGCACCTTTCTTATTGTTTTTTTTTGTTATTCCCTTTGTTTAGAGCTCTTCACCATACCAAGGACTAGTGGGTTGCAATTCGCCTAATCACTGTGGTGTACATCTCATAGGTGACGTACGGTGATAGTCTCCATTGCATTCAAAAGGTCCTTTTGCACGTGTAGTATGGTGCTAGAGATTTCTTGGCTCTCTCCTCTAAATTCTTTTTCCAATTTAACTTGGAGTGTAGAATAATTCCAAGTTTTATTCCCTCAGAGGAGATTTTCCTTTAATTTCGGCAGAGAAAAGTAGGTACTTTTGTTTTCCTTGTAAACAATACCAGTTCTGTCTTGTAGGTGTTTACCCCCAGTCCATTCTGGTTGGCCCACATAGCGATATCACCTAGTGCACTCTTCATTAGTTCACTTATGGT